GAACAGGTAACATGAGGAAACAGATTTTTTTCCAAAAAGGCGCCAACTTCCCTTCATTAGAAAGGAACCTCAAGGAAGAGAAGAGCATGCCAGCACCACCTGCCAGACTGCTGAGCCTGGCGTTGCGCCAGGACAGTGGCTCCTTCCATTTATGCCATCATGCCTTTGGGTGGCAAATTCCTGAACACCAGCTATCTCTCCTTTGGACACAGAGTCAAAATGACAGAGCATAGGTTCAGGACGGCATTCTGCACTTCCATAATGAATCATAGCTCAACTACTGTGGATCCCAGCTTCCCACAAACGCCTTTTCCAAAACACATTGCTACATGATAGCTGAAGAGAGACCTCTCCAATACAGTCATACCTCATGTTACGTTTGCTTCACGTTATGTTCTTTCAGGTTACGTCCCATGGCGGCCAGGAAGTACTGGAAAGTGTTACTTCTGGGTTTCGCCACTTGCGCATGCACAGAAATGCAAAATGACGTCACATGCATGTGCAGAAGCACTGAATCACAATCTGCGCGTGCGCAGACGCGGCACTGCGGGTTGTGCTCTTTTCATGTTGCGAACGGGCCTCCGGAATGGATCCCGTTCATAACAGTAGCATTCTGGGTATTTAAAGATTATTTAGAGGGTCAGAAGAAGATAAAATCAAGTTCATTTAACAAAGAAACCGCACTGTAGACAGCAAGTTCATTTGGGAGATGAGATTCCTTGTTGCTCCCCAATCCTCACACCTCACATCCAAGGCAATTTTTGCTGAACAGTCTAAGGATGTGACACACAGGAGGCAGAGAAGCATCCCGGATTCCCTGGAGGCTGCACAGAGCCCAGTGGACGAACATGCTTTGCTTCTCAAGTGGGAGCTGCAACCCAAGAAAGAACAGTTTTCTTTCTTTCTTACAGCTAACTGGTTTAATGAATCATATAACCTGATGTGTCCCATTTGCAAACTGAGTTTCATGAACAGAAATCCATCTTCTGCGGTGCTTTTGCCAGCCACATACAATTTGCGAAATCCTGGGAGTTTTCAGAAAGTTTAGAATGATTCCATTATCTCCCACTGGGTTTGCAGGTTAAGCCATTACTAGATTTAAAGTCAGGAATACAGGACGGTACAATCTGAAAGTTTGTATGCCCACCTTAGCAGTTCAAAAGCACGTCAAAGTGCAAGTAGAGAAACAGGTACCGCTCCGGCGGGAAGGTAAACGGCGTTTCCGTGCGATGCTCTGGTTCGCCAGAAGCGGCTTAGTCATGCTGGCCACATGACCCAGAAAAACTGTCTGTGGACAAATGCCGGCTCCCTCGGCCAGTAAAGTGAGATGAGCGCGCAACCCCCGAGTTGTCCGCAACTGGACCTAACAGTCAGGGGTCCCTTTACATTTACCTTTGTTTTTAATCAGAAAAGGCTGCTCCTGAAGATGGTTTGGAAACTTCAGCTGCTGCAGAATTTGGCAGACAGGTTGCTCATCGGGGAAAGATGGTTTGAGCATCTCACACCGATCCTGGTTCGACTGCACTGGCTGCCCATTAGTTTCCACGCCCAATTCAAAGTGCTGGTTTTGATCTACAAAGCCTTTAATGGCGCAGGAGCACAATAGTTCAAGGACGGCCTCTTTCCATATGCACCAACCGGGACCCCGAAATCATCCTCTGAGGCCCTTCTTCGTGTGCCTCCTCCACAAGATGTCCGTAGGGTGGTAACATGAGGACAGGGCCTCTTCTGCAGTGGCTCCCCATTTGTGGGATGCTCTCCGCAGGGGTTGTTACATATATTTTAGGTGCCAGGTGAAAACTTTCCTCTTCAACCACACTTTGGGCTGGTTAATATTCTATAGCCTTGGGGGGGGGGCGTTATTGTTTTGCTGTTTTTAACTATTCATTTGTGTTTTTATCTTGTATTTTTAACGTGTGAACCTCCCTTTTGAGGAATGGTGGTATATAAATCTAATAAATAATATTTAAAATAAAGCCAGGCCTCAGTCAGAGCCATTCTAGAAAGGCTCCAGCTCCTCAGCTACTCAAAGGCAGCTACAGACCAGCCACTGATACTTAGCTTGAAGAGTAACTTCTACTCCCAGCAGAACTTCCTCTCTCTCGCCTTGTGCTGGGCTGCATTGGCCAGGCCTGCAAACGCTTTACGAACAAACCCCGCTCCGAAAATTCTCTGCTTCCTCCTCCCCCTAATTTCCATTTCAAAATTATATATAGCCAAGTGCAAAGGAAAATAGATAACTTTGGGGAATCTACCTTTCCCAGTATCTTATTTTGCCCAAACACCAAAAATATCCTTCCTAGATAATACACTCATCAAATTTCTGGATTTTTTCATTCAGTACTTCCTCCGGCAGAAATGTTTTTGCTTTAATATGGGAAACTGATTTGGTTCACATCATGTATGAGGCCTTCGGCAGCTGGCCGTGAACGAGCGTGACAAATCGGATATTATGACATAAATTAGAATGTGGCTGTTACTGAAGAAAATGTGATGTCCGTGATGAATCCTTGCAGAAGGCTGAGAGGCTCAGCAGTTCAGTGAGCCTGAAATCAAGGGCCGCAGCTAGAGGCTTTTGCGGGCAACTGACCTTTTCAGGTTCAACCTCACAAACAGAAATAAATCACAGAATCCTCTAAAGACATTCTCTTTTCCAGCTCTGTGCCAGAGGCTGGGCTCCGAAAGAGGAAGGGCTGCAGAAGGTGCAGCCACAAGTGGCTCTCAGTCTAGTGGGACAAGGTGGAAGCACCAGATAGGGAATGAGGTCCTTGGGAAGGATCCTGGCCACAGGAATGAAAGAGAGGGGGCAGCCGTGGCCGGAGGAACAGTAGCTCAATGGCAAAGGAAGCAGATGGTCCAATCCCCGGCCTCTCCAGTTCAAAGGACTGTGCTTGGGGCTCTTGAAAGCCCCTCCCAGCATGAGAAGACAACAGGGGCAAATAGGCTGGCTTGGGATAAGGCAACTTCCTATTGCTGCAGGTTTATATACTTATGTATGTGTTATTTATTTTATATATAAAAGACCTTAGAATTCCTGTAACCCTATGTTCCTGTCCTTCCTGTAGCCATGGAATCAAGCCGAGAGCAGGTAACCAAGGCTGGAAGAGTCCTCAGAACATCAATGAGCTGCCAGCAGTAACCTTTCCCTGAGCAGGTAGCTGCCAACTGCAGAAGCTGTGGCTTTGGTTCCACATCTAGGCTCCAGACTGCAGCTGTGCAATCAGGCCTTTGCTTCAAGCCACATGCAGCTCTTCCAGCGACTGGGACCTGGTCTTGCAAGCACTGGCAGATTCAGCATCTGACCCTATGAGACTCCCTTCTGGGGTTTTTTTGGTCAATTGTGAAATGGCAACCCCATTGCCAATTTGCTCAACCTTCCCCCTCTGCCTTGCCCAGACCACACCTGGATCATGGCTCGATGAAAGAGCACAAACTGCCCATTGTTCAATCCCTGATTGATTCCCTTATTTATGTAAATATTCCTATTTAAAAGATCCAGGTAGCAGGGCTGGGGAGGCCCTTTCTGCCTGAGATGAGGCAGAGCCCTGCCAGTCCAAGGGAACATGGCTGAGCTAGGTGGAACAACAGCCAAGTTATGTGGCTGCTTCCTGCGATCCTCATCTCTGTCCACTGCCTGGGAGTTGGCTAGACCAGAACCGTCCCTTGCTGTCCATAGGACGACTTTTTGTCCATCTGAGCTGGCACTGAGAATCAGAGGCAGGGAGGGAAATGGATGAAGCCCATCACTGGTGAGCTGTGATTAACTGTTGGCTGTTTAGGAAAAGGTGGCCATCCTTGGAAGCATCACTGGAAACCTGACTAAGGCTGCCTGGCACACTGGTTCTTACCATTGCAGGACCCCCTGGGTAAGCACCCCCATGACTCCTTTGGGAGAAAGGGAGGGATATAAATTTAATTTATTAATAAGTACGCTTCCATCAACTGGTCAGTTGTGCCAAGATACACAACTGGCATGCACACAGCAAATAGAAAGCTCACTTCCTTATTACTAAATAAAGTCCTCATGTAATTTCATGAGGTCATGAGCGCTCTAGATGCTTCAATGTGTTCCCTACCACGACTGGAGCCAACTTGGAATTTTTGTTTGTTTTCTTAATTTTGTTGTGCAGGGTTTGAGGGTTCAGCTGATTCCTGCTGTTTCCCCATTCAAGAATCATCCTTAAGTTTCTGCCCAGCTGCTGGTTTGAACTGAGCACTGAGGACAGGAATGAAATCTCTAATTCAATCACTGAGATTATGGGATGTTAATCCTGCTGACGCTGGCAAGAGCGACAGGCCATTCTTTCAGGTGACCTGCTTCCCCAAACAAAAAAAAAGTGGAGGGGAGGGGAACTTAAACTGTAATTTAGGCCATTTTAAGGAATGGGAATATGCCAAGAAGATTCTGCTTTGAAAAGCACATACAGTTATTTCTTCAAAAAGCAATTAGGAAGTCAATTTCATGCTCAGAACCATGACTGCCCCACCGTCCATACAACCCTCCTCCCTGTCATCAAAGCATGTGCACGTTAAATTCTAAATTGAATTCTATTTTAATTTGCAACTTCCCCTAAGGATACGTTTCTGATTAGATTTGGTTTAAAGTTAAATCCCTTTGTATTGGAAAATTATTTGCTCATGAGAAGCAGCCTTCCCTGACAAGACAGTCCTGCAAATGTCTGGCCTTCTCAGCCAAACTTCACTGACTTTATGCAACCGGTTGGAGAACAAACATTGCACATTCATGATGGTTTGTGCTCATGATGCTATCAGGGGTGGTCACATGCGATCGGACTTTCAACATTGTATTATTTTATTGTTGTTAGCCGCCCTGAGCCGGGCTTCGGCTGGGGAGGGCGGGATATAAATAAAAATTTATTATTATTATTATTATTATTATTATTCGTACCTGCAAATGTTTTGCAGCAGTCATAGAACCGTAACATTGGAAGGGGTCACCAGCATCATCTAGTCAACCCCCCCGCAATGCAGGAATCTTTTGCCCCATGTGGGGCTCAAACTCACAACCCTGGGATTAAGAGGCTCATGCTCTACCAACTGAGCCACCTAGCCTCACACGGCTTCACTTCCAATCTTCACTCTAACTTCCTGCTGAACTTTTATACCACAAATGCTCAGGTTTATTATACTCCTGCTTTTGTTGTGGGGCAGCCCCTTCGGAAAGCAGTTGTGTGGTGGCACTGAGGAAGTGTGGCAGAACATCACCAGTGCACTACTATTGTGTCAGGAACACGTTGCAGAATAACCACAAACACGCAACAGGCTGGAGGGATCCTAGAGTCCCACAGCAGACGAAGAGCTAACCTTTGATTCAGACATAGCCAGCGACATGCTGATAACCAACAGAATAGGAATAATACTTGCACCTAAGTAGACTGCCTTTTCTATACCTCTTCTAGGTATAAAAGTGGGGCAAGCAGACATTTGAAAAGGAGAGCAAGGACTAGGTTGGGCTTTTGCTCAGCAGGACTGAGAGGAGGCCATGGGCCACTTGGCTCCTTCCTCTTCGGAAGAGGGGCAGAGGGGGGCACAGGTGCTATTTGGCCCCCAAGGTGCCTGCGCTGCCTGTAAGCAACAGCCACACGCTCTAGGGCTGCTTCCACGCCTGCTCTCTGCAACTGCCACCCATTGCCACGCTTTCCCACCCAATTTCAACAGATCATCCAGACCTCACTCTCGGCTCAATGAAGTGCCCCAGACATCTCCCATTTTTGAGACATTTGTAGTGATTCTTTGATAATGAAGTACAAATGCAGCCCTGGCTGTGATGATGGGCACAGGCACATCACGGCAGAGGCTTTTAAGGGCCCCTTTGCCTTTAAGCAAAAACTTCCTGCTTCAGGTTCAGTCCATTTTATTGCTTCCTGGTGAGCGCAACTGGGGGGATTAGTGATAAAAAGATGATTCATTGTCCTTCCAATAGCCTCTCTTAATTGCCCCCATTTCGATTCCCACAGGAGGGGGTGCACTTTAAAGATTGGTTTCCTCTTCCACATTTTTTGCAGCGATGTTTTTCCCCATTAAAAAAAATCCAAAGGAGAAGAATGAGAGGAAACGGAGGGGGAGGGAGGGAGGGAGGGAGGCTTCAATTAACTAGAAATGTTTTAATTAACACTGAACACTGACGTAGGATGACCTTGCTGTGCGACAAAATTATATTCATTTTCCCGAAGACTGAATCAGGTACTCTCATTTTAAATTACTGCAAATAATTCTCAGATCAAACTCTCAAGAGGAATCCTCTTCACAGCAAAAGCTTGGCCAACTTTATGAAGGTGCCACAGAACAAATTTTAATGGTGAGGAGCAAACAGATGAGCTCATTGAGCCAGCAAACAATGTGAAGTGGAGAACACCTTTTCATTGACGACAGCACAATAGGAAGTGATAAGGGGAGGAAGTGAGGGAGAGACACACTGCTTGGATTTTGCAGAAGCAGCAGCCAAAGAAGTGATGGGGAGATACTGTATAGGAGCAACGGGGACTGGCCTTGTACTCAGTGCTAGAAACTGAGATAGAAAAGCTAGGAACCAAAGGGCACCTTAAACTGAGGTTATGGGCGCAACAACGGAATGTCTAGGTGCGCTTTTTTTATAACAATACAAACAGAAAATGAATGAACTGCAGCTAAAATACTATGTTCTTTTTCCACATGCTCTAATCCTTCCCCTGCCCCCCCCCAATATTCTTAAGAGGGTCTCTTCTCCAGTCTTTGAAGAGTAGCTGGCAGTGGGGAGACAGAAAAAGGCCCCCCTCTCCTTCCACTCTGCAGTTTTAATCTGAAATCTTAGGCGCAGGACTGCACCCAGAGCTCAGAAACTGCTCACGCTAAAGAAATTCCCTGTTGCAAAATGCACCTAGAACAATGGGAGTTTCGAATGCTGCTTGCACTGAGGGAGACCCCAGGTCCACCCATCTCACTCCTCCTGCCTTTGCAGCCCGCACTGCCTGGCAGGGGCTTGGCGGGGTTTCAGGGAAGAGTTGCCTCTGCATCTCTTCTTCTTATGTTTGACTATGGAAAACTGTAAAGTGTTGGCACCTGGAGCTGAACACCGGCAGAATCTGAACTGACACAGGCACCCTGGACGCAACCACCTTGACATTAGGAAGCTTATGTTCGTTATGGGAAATACATGCGGATAAGGTTGTGCATCTACAGCAGTGACCAGAGGAGGAATGACCGCTGTGAGGAGCAAAAAGAGAAGAAACGCCATGGTGTATCTGCAGTAACTCAACCGGGCACCTTCCTCTGCCCCAGCTGCAACAAACATGTCTCTCCCGCTTTGGTCTCTGCAGCCACAGCAGGCGCTGCAAGCTCCCAACAGTTTGACTTTGCCCCCAAAGGGACAAATGCAAACCACAGTGGAAATGGCCTAAGCCCTGTTCACTCTGATACCTCAAGGAAAGATCACAAAATCTCCAGAGGGAGGCAGGAAGGAAGGAGAGTCTGGGGATAAAGGATCTCAGGATTGGCTACAGAGAGAGCCACCCAGAGGGAGGGAAAATAAAAGGATCCAGTTCTGAGGGAGAGGCGTAGATAGGGAAAGGGCTGGGGTGGGAGAGAGACAGAGACAGGGCTGGGTTTGAGATGAGAGCTGCGTCCGAAATGGTTGTGGACGTGGGGGATGATTAATAAAACCAATCCAAAGGGCAAACGGGGAATATCCAGTCATGCCCCCAAGTTTAGGACATTCTACGCCTTTCCTCAGCAGAGTTTATTCTCCTTTGAGAAAAATAAGTGGCTCACTGAAACATAAACTCCCGTATTCTTCGCTCTATACGACGCACCAGACCACAAGACGCACCTAGTTTTTGGAGGAGGAAAACAAGAAAAAAAATATTCTGAATCTCAGAAGCCAGAACAGCAAGAGGGATCGCTGCGCAGTGAAAGCAGCAATCCCTCCTGCTGTTCTGACTTGTGGGATAGCTGCGCAGCCTGCATTCGCTCCATAAGATGCACACACATTTCCCCTTACTTTTTAGGAGGAAAAAAGTGCGTCTTATAGAGCAAAAAATACGGTAAGCTTTAAGAATAAAAAACAGTCACAAACTAACATGATGAGAGAAACTCAAGACAACAGCATAAGGCGAGTCTGAGGCAAGAAGAGGCTACTGGTCCCTCCTAATGGAACAGGTCCTGAAGGGAGGGTCTGAGCCCGGAGCAGAGTCCACAAGCCCACCAGACCCCAAACCTCCAGCTGACCCAAGTTAAAAAGCTCTAATAACACTAGAATATGGCCAAATAAAAAATGGGTGGCTTTGTGGTTTCTGCAAAAACAAAGGAAGCCTCATTAAAACTTCTGCATTATACACGGGTGAGGCTGTCCCAAACATGTAAGGAAGACAATCCCAATTGTCGGAGGGGAGGCTAAGTCAAAGGTATATATTTCCATATGTGGTGGTGGAGTGCCATTGTCAAAGCCTTCTGGAATGCTGTCTTCTAAGAAATAAGCTTGATACACAACAAAACAATGGAAATGTCCCCTGCCCTAGCACTCCTTGGGCTTAGGATCCTGTCTGCTCATGACTGTCCTAAAGATGACCCCCTTAGCCGTTCTACTGACTGCTGCTCATCTGGAGATAGCCAGATGTTGGCAAACCAGCGTTGGGCCAAAGATTGATTCTTGGTATAAGAGAGCCCGGCCAATAGTATTGGCTGAGAAACTAACATGCCAGGTGAGAACCGCAAAGAGCAAACACAATCCACATCCCTTTTTTAACACATGTCAAATGTTTATTGAGTACTGTACTTAAATTGTTCAGACTGTGGCAGGATTCCACCCAGGACTCATGGGAAAATGTGGCATGATCTCTTAGAGCAATCAAATGATACTTTAACACACGGCATGATAAAAGTCTGTACCTGTTGTTTACTGTTGCAACAATTGTTTTCTCGAAAGTTATCTTCTCTACCATGAAAATAAATAAAAACAGTATTAAAAAAACCTAGGCCCCAGTGTTACAGAAACTGCCCACGCACCACTTGCAACCAAGGGAAGATGCCTGGGTGCCAGGATGGTGCCTGACGTCTCCCCCTGGGGGTCCTTGGATCTGGACCACTCTCACCCACTAGCAACACATCCTGTCAAATTCTATCCGCGATATTCTGTCTGTACCATCAGAATGAATTTCAGGAACCAGATAGCGATGTCGAAAAAGACGGCTTTAGAGCCGCCCGGCCCCCAAATGCCAAGTAGCCATTCTGTTTTGGCGACTGTAACCCTGGTTCAAGGAGCCATTTGGCACCTCGCTTATATATCAGAGTTTCTAACACTGGATGAGAGAGAGGCCTTAGGTGAGGGTCAGCCTGATGGAGACCTGCTTCTGAGTTGAGTGGAACATCCACCCTGAGGAGACCAGCGACAGCCAAAAGGAGGAGCCTCGCAGCTCAGATAGGAAGAGCGGGTTGAGGGTCTGGGAGCAAAATGGAGGGCTGAGTCTGAGCCAGGAAAGGCAGGCGCTGCGGGAAGACAGACTAAACCAGGGTCTCCTTCCAGTCATGAGGGAAGATCTTCCAGAAAAAGAAGACTTCCAAGACCCCCTGTGTCATGGTCCAGTCTACGGGCGACTGAAGTACTGGCTGAGGACGTCGGGACCGGGGGCAAGATGGCAGGGTGGGAGCAGGAACAAGAGTCCAGAAGCCAGGGGTCCGAGGGTAAGGAACCAAGGAGTCACGAAGTCAAGGGTCTGAGGGTCGAAAAGCAAGGAGTCACGAAGTCAAGGGTCCGAGGGGCGAGAGCAGGGAGTCAAAAAGCCGAGGTCCGAGGATGAGGAAGCAAGAAGCCAAACGCAGCAAGGCAGGAAACATGTTGCTGTGGCAAAGAGCCGAAGGGAAATGCTGACCTTATATCCCTTCCCAGCTCTTGCCACCAGGTGCAGCGAGTTACCAATCAGCCTCACCTGTGTGGCCACACCTTGCCTCTTCAGAACAAACTTAGGAAGGCCCCAGTCCTGCGAAGCCCTACTGGTCACAGGGCCCGGCTCCTGCACGCAGTCCTGGGTCCATTAGAGTAACGGGAAGACCTCAGGGAGGGGCACTGCTAAGAGGGTGGGGAACTGAGG